CCATACTCATGATAAGTTTGGAAGCTCAAGGGAAAACCAAAGAATAAACTTTCAGCCAAATCCTTCGCTGCTAAGGGCCTTGTTACGATCTCAGAATCCACGACGGTGTAGCCGACACCCACTCAGAACATCTCGAAATCACCAGACCCCATTGAAAGTCAAATGAAGCACTCAATTAAGCTACTTGGATCTAGTCGGTTCCCTTCCAACCTATCGACCTCCCATGTCTGTTAAGGTAACATTCCTATGACACTCACTTCTTTACTTCTACTCTGTGAATTATTGATTCAGGTGCCACGGACAACATGAACGGATGTTCTCAAGCCTTCATGACATATTCTTCATGCTCCATGAGAGATACTATTAAAATTGTTGACGGCTCATATAGCTCCATTAAGGGTAAAGAGTCTACTGTTCTAACTATCGAGCTGACTCTAGAATTCGTGGTACATGTACCTTTGCTAAAGTGTAACCACTTGTCAGTCAGTAAGTGACATATGACATTGATTGTAATTCTCGTTTTTTTCCAGATGTTTATCTTTCAGGATCGTCATTCGATGAGGATGATTGAAACTGCTAAACGAGTAGTCAGACAAGGACACTACATCTAGTAGTTGTAGTTTTTCCATGTCCATTGAATGTCCTATTAAGCTTTTACATTGTCGTTAGGGTCATCTCAATTTTCAATATTTAAGTAGTTGTATCCTTTGAGGTTTATTAATGAAAATCTATCTATATTCAATTGTGAGATTTGTCAGTTAGCTAAACATCATCGCGTCCCATATCCACCCCTCTTACATTCCTTCTGCTCATTTTTTTCACTAATTCATAGTGACTTATAGAGACCCACTTGAACTCCAAGCTACCACAATAAACGGCAGCTCCTTACCTTGATTTATGACTACACTCGGATGACATGGGTTTATATCTTAAAAGACAAATTTCAAGCTGCGGTTACCTTTCACTCCTTCAGTTTGACCCAAATAAGAACATCAAGTCAAGTCTTTCGAACTGACCAGACCATGAATTTTTAAACTCTATATTAAGAAAATTTTTAATGAGTAATGACATCCTCCATCATACCTCTTGTACGGATACTCAAGAAAATGGGATAGTCAAGCAAAAAAAACCACCGTCTCGAAGTAGTTCATTCCATTATGTTTCAATCTAATGTCCCGAAAAGTTTTTGAAATAATCTCATACATGCTGCAACATATCTCATTAATAGTCCCCACAAAAATTCACAACTTCCAAACCCTGTTAGTTATCTTGATATCGTGTTTTCCCGCCAATCGGTTCTCCACTTTAGAGCACAAAATATTTGGAAGCAGCCTTTATTAAGAACACTGCCCCAACTTCTAGTAAACTTGATCCCTAATCAATCAAATGTGTCTTCATCGGTGTCTTGATCCTATCACAAATAAACTCTATATAAGTGTCGATGTCTCATTCTTTGAAAGTGTTCCCTACTTACTTAACACTACCTCAAGCGAGGGGGAGCTAGATTTTTTGGACACTAATCTTTTTCCGACTTCGGTGGATATTCCAACAACACCTCCCTACTATTTCTGAGGAACCCTCAGTGCCACTCTCCGTATCTACACTCGCGCATCAAATTTTCAGTTGAGACTTAACTCAATGCTCCTACGCTTGAGCTTGTTGCCTCCTTGAATGCCTTGGAATCCGCTCTGGTTGACATCCTCGGAATTACACTCTCTCAACTTGCATGGATTGCTCCTGATCCGAATGAGGTGGGTTCTACCATTGAAGTAAGAAATCAAGCATGCTCTCTTTATTCCATGGCGAAATATGTCTCATTCCACATCTTATCACCAATCTACAAAGCATTTGCCACTTCCTTGATGGACCATCGTTTTCCATCAAGTATTGAGGCAACATTGGCAGACCAATCATGGACGGCTGCAATAATGGATGAAACGAATGTCTTTCGACGAAACCATATGTAAGAAGTTGTTGATCTTCCTCGGGGTAAGAAAAGTGGGTTGCAGGTGGATTTTTTACACCAAATTTAACTTTGATGAATCCTTTGAACACAATAAAGTGCAATCGGTTGTCAAAGGCTCTTCACAAACCTATGGAGTTGACTATAAGAAGCATTCTTCCTTCTCTATAAATAAACATAAACAAGATAAGAAAACATTAAGTGCTTTGAGTGCACTTTCCTCTTCAATCTCAATACCACATCTTTGTTTGTATTATAACTTTTATGCTTCCCAAATTTGTAATACTAAATTAATGTCTTTGGTGGGGGATAATGCTCCTTTAATTGCTAAGATTCCCTTATAGGTGCATAGGAAAGATATCCCTATGTCGAAATTTCAATCCACGGCCTCCACTACTAAAATGCTATATACCCGCATCCATACCTTTCAACACCGGAAATCTAGCACTTTCATATGGCACCATTACATTTCTCCCTCCATCTCCTTCTTTTTATGGAGGTATTTTACTTCCATGTTACCTCTTGATGATATTCTCAAAATGAAAAGATTGAGACTTGCTTCCTTCTGCTATATTCGTAGAAAGCTGCTGAGTCTTCTTCCCACTTGTTTTACGAGTACTCTTTTGCTAGAGAAGTTTGAGACAAATTTGAGAGAACCTTAGGGGTTCGTTAGCCCCTCATTTTTTGCTTGGAGAATTTACTCAAAACTTGTAAGGAAACAAGTCATATACATATTAAATTGCATTACTTTCCTCTAATGGTTTTGCTGTTTATCTGGTCGACTAGAAACAACTTTAAATATGATGCTTCATTTCCTTCTCCTTCTACTACTATTTCATTTATATTGACCAACTATCAAAAAGCTTTGAGAACATAAATGCTGGTGGTGCTTTACATATGCCTGAGAGAGGTAGGAGACCAACCTTGATAAGTTGGAGACCACCCTCTCATGGTTGGTTTAAAGCTAATATTGATGGTAGCTGGTCCTCCATTGGTGCTGAGGTTGGTGACCTCTTTTGTGATGACATAGAGAAGTGCCTAGCCTATTTTGCCTCACCTGTTTTTGCTTCATCCCCTCTTGAGACTAAGGGCTGGGCTATTTTGTTGGCTATGATGGTCTTTGTTTCTCTTCATTTCAAATCTTTGGTTATTGAAATTGACTCACAAAGTCTTTTTGACATCCTTACTGGGAAAAAAAAGCCCGTCTGGTATCTCATTTGTGTGCTAAATCGAATAACGGTTATAATAGACTATAACCATCTGAATATTCAACATAGCTTCATACATAGGGAAGGGAATTCTCCTGCGGATTGGCTCTCTAAACAGGGAGTTTCAGGCATTATTATTGGCATTATACCTCATACTTTTCTCAATACACTCCTCCTCAGTGATTTGCTGGATACTCCTTACATTAGGAGTTAACTTTATCTTTGTTTTCTTGATTATCTTTGTTTTCTTGATTGTATTACCAATTTTGGTTTTGTTTGAGCTCATTGCATACATGAAATTCTGGAGCTCACCTATTGGCTTTACAAACTGGAAGTATTCTCTCAGGATGCATCATTGGAAGCATATAATGGATTCAGCTTTTATTTCCATTACTGTTGCATGATTTGGATCAGGCTAGGAAAATTCATGTTATGCAGCTTGCTGGAATTTTATTATGGGTTTCCTGCAGTTATTTGTTGTATATACAGCTTTTTGTTTGGGACGTTTTTGACTATTTTTCATATAGATACTTGATTTTTTATCAGCTGCTGGGTGGCAGCTGGAGCTGAGCTCTCTGTTGGGTGTCAAGTTCTTCCTGCTGTATTACCTTTCCCTCTTGCTGCCCTCTTTTTTTCTACAGGAAAATTGGTCTATTCCTTGCTCGGTTGCTACTATCTCTTGCTGGATTGGGTGCTGGTCTTTTTGGAGGTCTTTTTTGATTTACTGTGGGGTGATACCATTTTGCTGGATTGTTTTACTCTCATGCACTGGGGCTATGGTACAGTTATGCTCGGCTGCTGCTCCTTTTGCTGCTTTCATGCTGGACAATTTGGATATGTTGCTCCACTATGCAGGATTTATTTCAGAAAACAGATATTTTGGAGACCCCTGCAGCTTTTATGGTTTTCTATTTTCCACCTGTACTTATTTTGGGTTTACTTGTATATTTCTTTTAGGGTATACTTGAAATTTTTGGAATTTTTTGTGTGGAGTTATATGTGGGAGGTGGAACCCCCTAGGGGATCTTACTTTTGTATTTCTTTTGTTCTAGTTTTAAGGGTCTCACCTCCCCTCTATAATTTTGTAACTCCTTTTTATAATAATAGAATCGAAGCCGAACAATGCTCCTTCCCTACTATATATATATATATATATATATATATATATATATACATTGACACAGCATCAATCACGCATATGCCTTGATTGTTAAAAAATATTTGTGTTTATTAGTTGGAATCAGATGTAGATCGTCATCTATCCAGTCGTTAGAATTGGAAAATGGGGTGATACATCTACCTCAACTTCTAATTCAGCAAATAAATGAATTGCAAATCCTCAGATTCAGAAAGTGAACTCTTTGAATGCAGGACACTTTGATGGCAAACCCTAAGGTGTCAAGCAATTTCTCAAACAAAAAAGAAAGGATCCTTATTAGAGAAATATTTCTTAATAGCAAGAACTCTCCTCTCTCATCCTTGAATCACAAACTACAAATTGCTGAGCAAAAAAAATGTTTCAATGGATAGATATTTCAGTTATAATTTATACTCACGCAATTGTTAATAATCCATAGGGTTAGGAGTAAGTGAGCCAAGCCGGCTCAAACTCAACTCATTAAAGAGCTCGCAAGTCGAGCTTACCGAGCCACAATCTCAAGTTTTGGCTTAGATTTGAGCTCATATATTATGTAAGCTCGAGCTCGAGCTCGAGCCTAGACTAACTCAGCTCAAGGGCTAGTCGAGTTAGCTCGATTACATTAATTAATTCTTTAACTAATCTAAATTTTCATATAATAAATAAAGTTAAAAAACAGAAATAAACTTACCTCTTTAAGCCCATGCTGATACTGCAAAATTTTCTCAGTGCTTATTCCTCTTAGAATGGAAGTTAAGCGCCCAGGTTGTACAGCTGTAGTTGTATCAAAAAAAATGGCTATCTCCTTGTAGTCTATGACATCTTCAAATGGCAACTCAATATAGTCACTCACAATTACAGGGATGCACAAACTAACAATAGCATCAAAAAGCCTGCAAGCCGAAGGAGTATCGCCAGCAGGATGTAAGCAAAACTTTGAAGAATGCATGCCTTGAGTTGCAATGCGCCTACTCTCCCTTGATTGTGAGCCATGTTTAATTATGACATCTTCCTCATTCTCAAGTATTTGGAAAAGTGTATCACGAATTTTTCCTCCCTGCAACCAATCCATAAGGTCTTAATCACACACATAAGGACAGAGAAAGGGGAAGGGCATAGAAAGGGGTGCGGGAGAGTGAAATGATTTTTTTATTGCATCGCCCTTTTCATTATCTTAGCTATAGATATTTATATAAATTTTATTCTCAAAACTCAAGTAATAAGTTTAAGAAAGTGCTAAATTTAAGATCCAAATTTTGTGAGTCCCAATTTATATCACAGGGAAATTATGACAACACGGATTGTGACTTCAGAGAAAATTGTGAGCACGCAGATTAAAGGTTTTGACCATTAGATCAAGCTTATAATAGTCTTTAGATTGCAATTCATGCACTATTGTTTTATTGGATCTCTTTTAATTGTTTTCTTTAAAGGAGTATTGCTAAAACTATAAATACCCTGCTTCTGTTTTGTGCAAAACATACTCAACTTGTAATCTCTTCTTTGATATAGTGAATTCTCCTCATGTGCCGGTAGATTTTCCAATGTTGGATTTTCCACGTAAAATCTGTGCTCTTTTTTTTTACTTCATTATTTGTTGCATCTATTTAATATCAAGTCATAACAAGTGGTATCAGAGCCAGAATTGATTTGTCAATGGCAACAATAAGGTATGACGTCCCTCGTTTAGATCGTAACACCAGATTTTCTCTTTTGCAAGTTAAGATGCGAGCTGTCCTAGTGCCGATGAATCTAGACAATGCGCTTTTGAAAAGATGCCCTAATCATGGACGTTGAGGGAAGCAACGTAAAAATCTAAATAGTCTTTCTTAAATTAATCTTCATCTATCAAATCAGATTTTACAAGACATTTTCAAAGAGAAATTGTTGTTGTGTAATGGCTCAAATTAAAGCAATTGCACATGACAAAAAGTCTTACCAGTAATTTACACTTAATGTACTGTTTACACTCTCATAGAATGACAGAAGGTGAATCTATTATAGATCACTTAAATATCTTTAAAAAAATTGTCTCTCATTTGGAAGTCAGGGAAGTTGCGCATGGCGAAGAAGATTTGACATTAATCTTATTATGCCCATTTTCTTTATCATATACAACATTTAGAAATACCATCTTGTTTGGATGAGAGACTCTTACTCCTGATGAAGTATATGATGATTTACTTTCTAAGGCGAAGATGAAGCAACTTGTGGATGAACCGGTTACTCAAAAAGAATGCCTTATCGCTCGAGGTAAAACTCAAGAGACGAGTTTTGGTGTTAATATAAAGAGTAGATCAAAATCTAAAAATAATGATAAGATATGTAATTAATATAAAATTATGGGACACATCAAATTTGAATGTTTCAAATTGTATAATAAAAATAAGAAAGCAACTTCTAATAAAATAGGCAAACAATCATGTCATTCTAGTAAAGCCAGTGTTGTTGAAGAAGTCATTAATAATGGTGAACTCATAGTTGCCTCCTACGGAGAACCTTGTGATAATTGGGTTATTGATTTAGCTTGCACGTTTCATATGTATCCCAATAGGAATTGGTGCTCAACATATGAAATTGTGTCAAAGGGTACCATGTTAATGGGTAAAATGATCCTTATAAGATAATCGATGTCGGAACTATTAGAAGAAAGATGTTTGATGAAGTTATCGGAACACTTGAAGATGTGAGACATGTCCCGGATTTGAAAAAAAATCTAATCTCTGTAAGTACTCTTGACGCTAACGGGAACAAGTACTTTGGTGAAGCTGGAGTTTTGGAGGTAGGCAAAGGATCTCTTATTATGATGAAGGGTTTGACGAAGGATGCGAGGTTATATGTCTTGCAAGACTCTACTGTGGTAGTTGATACAACAGTTACTACTTCTTCCATGTCAGAAGATGAAGCAACCAAACATTAGCATATGTGCCTTGGGCATATGAGCGAGAATGGGATGGCTAAATTGAGCAGAAGGGGATTTTTAAATGGTCAAAGCACACTAAATTGAAGTGTTGTTAACACTATGTATTCCGATAACAAAAATGAGTTAAGCTCAATGTCGGCATTCACAACAGTAATCTAATATTAGATTACATACATTCTGATCTTTGGAGACAATCTACAATACCATCTAAGGAAGGCGCCAGATATATGTTGACGTTCATTGATAATTTCTCCAAAAAAATTTAGCCGTTATTCTTGAAGCTGAAAAGCGGTGTTTTTTACTATATTTAAGGAATGGAAGATCATGATCAAGAAGCAGATTGGAAAGTAAATCAAACGACTTAAATCCAACATCTACTATAGAATCTAAAAATGATGATCATAAAGAAATGTCAAACAGACTAGTGGAACTTCAAATTGATACAAGTACATCTTCGGGCATAACTTCTGAGCCAAGCTCAGATAATCATAATGATGCTTTCCCACCATCACAGCAACAACCATTGCAGTATTCTATTGCCAAAAATAAAACGAGAAGAGAAATTAAGCTGCCTCAGAGGTATGTTGAGGCTGATTTGGTTGTTTATGCTGTAAATGTAGATGAAGGTATTAGGTGTGGTGAAGAACCTTCTACTATACAAAAATTGTGAACTCAATTGACGTTGATAAATGGATGATCACTATGCAAGGGAGATTGAATCCCTCCCTACATAGAAAAAAGAACTTGGGAACTGGTGGAATTACCTTAAGGCAAGAAAACGTTCGCTACAAATGGGTGTTTCAAAAGAAGAAAGATACACTAGGAGTTGAAGATGTTTGATATAAGGTCAGGCTTGTTGTAAAGGAAGTCAGTCAAATTCCAAGTGCAGGTTTTATAAATGTATTCTCTACGATTGTCAAACACAGCTAAATTTAATCTTGAAATGGTATTGTGGCTAAATACGATCTTGAGCTTGAGCTGTTAGATGTGAAACTTATGTTTTTGCATGGGGAGCTTGAAGAAGACATCCATATGCAACAGCCTAAGAGTTTCGCGGTTACTAAAAAAAGAAGACCATGTTTTTTGGTTGAAGCAATCTCTTTACGGTTTGAAATGATCTCTTAGGCAGTGGTATAAGAAGTTTGACTCATTCATGATCGCTCATAACTTTAAGAGAAGTAGTTATGGTAGTGTTTACTTCAAGAAAAATAATAATGGCTCATTTATTTACTTGCTCTTACGTGTCGATGATATGTTGATAGCTGCTAAAGATAAAGAAGATATCAAGACATTAAAAGCTCAACTTAGCAATGAATTTGAAATGAAAAATTTGAGAGTTGCAAATGAAATACTTGGCATGGAGATTCAGAGAGATAGAAACGCAGATAAATTATTTCTAAGTCAGAAAGGTTACATTGAAAAAGTATTGAATAGATTTAATATGCAAAATAGCAAGCCTGTTAGTACTAAACTTTCATCAACTTTGTGTTCACAATCTGAAAAAGAGATTGAATATTTGTCTCAAGTTTCTTATTCTAGTGCAGTGAGATCTCTCATATATGCTATGGTAAGTTGTCATCCATATTTATCATATGCAGTTAGTTCACTTAAAAGATATATGAGTAATTCGAGTAAAAAATATTGGAAAACAGTTCAGTGGATTCTCAAATATTTATTTGAAATAATTGTTTGTTTGTCGTTCAAGAGGACTACAAATAGAGTCATTAGCTATATTGATTCAGATTTTGCTAGAAATCTTGATATAAGGAGATCATTTATAGGATACATGTTTACCATTGGTGACTATGCGATTAGCTGAAATACTACTTTACAGACAATAGTGACACTATCTACACCTGAAACTGAGTACATGAGAATTACTGAAGCTTGCAAAGAAGCTATCTGGTTGAAAGGTCTGTTTGAAAAACTTAGTAAAATTTTGAAAAAAACTACACTGATGTGTGATAGTATAAGAGTGATAATTATCTCAGCAAAGATCAAAAGTTTTATGAAATAACTAAGCACATTGATGTTCGTTATCGCTTTGTTCGTGAAGTTATCACTCGTGGTGATATTGTTGTGAGCAAGATCAGCCCCCATGATAATCCTGCAGATATGATGACTAAAGCACTTCCAATGGCCAAGTTTGAGAATTGCTTAGACTTGATTGGTATTCATTTCAGATCATTAGAGCTTTGTGGAAGAGGAAGAGAAAGTTATATTCTTTACATCCTTTGGAAATTCATGTCAAGTGGAGATTGCTAAATTTATGAACCATGTTTTGTGGTCTCGTTTCATCTCATAAGGAAATTATGATCACACGAATTGTGACTTCAGAAGGAAACTATGAGCACACGGATTGAAGGTTTTGACAGTTAGATCAAGCTTATTGTATAACCAAAAAGTGCATGAGAAGGGGAAAATGTATCTAATATGTGAAAAGATGCCAGAGATGAGAAGAGGTGCCAAAGAAGATAACTCAAAGGCAAATTTGTACTTTTAAATATAAGGGGATGGTCTAATATATATATGTCAAATTTTCTAATTATGTTTTCCTATGTCGGTCTGGGATTGGAGGCATTTGAGAAGTTCATGAGCGACACTCAGAGAACTAGAATCCAATGTAGAAAATAAAAGCCTCCCCTACGGGGCGAATAACTACCGACCCTCCACGCCAAACATGAAAAGCAATGTCTCTAAACTCGGAACAGGAAAATGCTCTGGAGGTGGTTCCCAGCTCATTAGTGACAAGCTCCACGAAGAGTACAGCGCAAATCACCACAGCAGTTAGTCTCGTCGGTTACCCCGCGAAGGCAGTGACAAAAACCACCTAAGCTCTAGCAAAATGTGAGGCCCAATCGAAGCAATGAACCAATCGAGAAAACGAGACACGGGCTTTGCAAGACTTGAGCAGAGCAATCAACAAACTAATGGTCTTTCCAAAAGTCTGAATTATCAACCAATCCAAAACATCCAACTGTCGCAATCAAATTATGCGGCAAAGATACAATACAAAATAAGCAAAGCAAAAAACAAATCCAGAATTTTATTTATTTCTTGAATAAATCACTAACACTTGTTTACAAGTGTTGACTAAGTGACAGATTAAAAATTGGCCCGAAAAAGCCTGAGAAGAGCACTTCGGAACCGGAGAAAGCAAGGCGCTAAACGACACTAAAATCAATGGAATATAATTGGTGCATTATTATGATTGCATTTTTGGTATATTTAAAGTTTCACATTCTTATTGCAGCTTTAATTCCGAGAAATAAGAGATTTAGGGGCATGACCATGAAGTGCATGGGAAGACGAAAATGTGCCTAATGTGTGAAAAGGTACCAGAGAAATGAAGAGGTGCCAATGAAGATAACTCTTAGAGGCAAGTTTGTACTTTTATATTTGTCCTCCTATACTCGATAAATAAGAAGACATTTTATGTATAAAGGGATGAATGTCATTTATGGCTCTCCCTCTCTCCTGTAAACAATCTTTTAATATATAAAATGGGGCAAAGAGCCCGATAAACTACCTCACTTTGCCCTGCTGGGGGCAGTCACGGCGTCACATTTTCTTTCCCTCTCTCCCTCACTCTCGGTTCTCGTGCTCTATGCCTTGGGCATGCCTACATAACAAATTTGATTTCAACACTTATAATAGCAATTAGATTGTGATTCATGTGCTATTTATTTTATTGGCTCTCTTTTGATTATTTCATTTAAAGGGGAATTGTGAGAACTATAAATACCCCTTTTCGGTTTTGTGTAAAATACACTCCACTTATAATCTCTTATTAGATGTGGTAAATTCTTCTTCTTTGCCCGTGGTTTTTCCCATTCTGGGTTTTTCACATAAAATTTGTGTTCTTTCTTATTTCATTTATTTCATTATTTTTTGCACCGATTTAATAACAAGTTATAACAAAAAGTTTTTAAAACTTCTCACATAGTTGTGCAATATATGAAAATCTTTTGAACAACTCTAAGTTAAGGTGTTATCAATACCAATCCAAAATGGGATACATATAAAGGTGAGCAATAGGCTTTCGCATAAATAATAAGCTTAGTGGCCATAAACAAGTATTGTGAAAAGGAAAATTTCAATCTTTAATTAGCTCTGCTGGCGAGAGATATTTCTCCAACGTCTTCACGGCTGGAACAATCTCAGCTGGGCAAGAAATAAATTTACAAACAAAACTTGGCATGCAACAACTAAGAGTTACCTCTTTGCGATAACGGTTACCCATGAAAAACAGCAACGAGTCCCTTCCTTTAATCCCCACCTCCCCTTTGAACGGATTAATCCGATGAGAATACGGCAAAATTACATCCTTCACCAACGAGGCCTGATCACCTCTCAATCTCCCAAAATCTGAAACCAACAGCACGCCGTTCTTTATCCTATCAATCACCTTATACAGAGCGTTCGGATCCTGACAGATGAACACATGGTCCCTCCCATTATTCCTCCTCCAAAACTCCTGCCCCTCGACCCAACTCACCAGCTTCTCCTGCATATCTCCGTCGTTGTACGCCATCGCCCTATCAGCAACGCCATCAGAACCGGGACGAAATGGGTTAACGATAAGACTGAGGGAGGAGAAGAATGGGACGTAGTAGAGATCAGCCTCTTCCGGATTTTTAACCCGCTCAACGGGCGATGTGGAGCGGTCGGGGCGGAGGAGATCGGTAAGGAGCCACCACTCAGCGGAGTGTTGGTGCCCTGGGTAGTGGAGGTCAGACTCCGATATCAGCAGCGAACGTTGTGGGTCACGCGCGAGGAGGTAACTTTCGATGACACCATAAGTGAAGAGGCGAGGAAGCTCGTAGAGGTAAATCTTGGTGCGGCGAACTGAGGGGGAGGGGGAGGAGAGAAAGGGGGAAGGAGGAGGGGAAAGGATGGAGTGAGATATGGCGAATATGGTGACGAGAGAGAAGGCAACGGCGAAGGCAGCAATGGAAGGGCGGAGGAAGGGGCGGCGAGCCATGCGGGAAGTGCCGAGAGTTAGGGTTGCGGTTTGGGATTTTAGCGGGGAGGAAGAGGGATTTGATTTGCGAGGCATGGCCCGCTCGGGCATGGCATTGGATTCCGGAAAATGGAGGGAGGGGTGAAGCGGACGGTAACTGTGTGGTGTCTGCCTCCCGGTCGTTGTTAAATAAAAGGAAGGTAAATATCATAACAAAAAAATACCGAACTTTTTTTATACTTAAATTAATTTATATCGATTTAATTTATGCTACGCCTGCCCGCCCTTAAAAATGTCAATGTAGTTAAGGGTGCTGTTTGGGACGACCATGAAAGTAACGGACGGAGAACTGCATCATTTGGGTTGGCGGCGGCACCACGTTCAGAGTAAGGTTTTCAGCTGTTTAATGAAAACATGAGTTATAAGTTTGACCCTGCAGGCCATATTTCTTCGCTATATATTTACTCGGGTGCCCTTCACGTCTTCTGCCCTAACATGCTCCCATGTTTTCTCCTGTGCCCAACTCGACATCGCCTCGCATTTGTTCGGTTATTCTCCTGTGCCCCACTCGTCCTCGTCTCGCATTTACGTGATATTTCTTCTCTACTTTCTCTTCATTACCCGACACCTGTGATGAAAGGTTTTCAAACTATTTGCTTCTTCTTTTAGTATACTGACCCGACTCGCAATTAAGTGGTTTTTATATATGTTTTCTGGCAAAAATTTTGACCCAACTTAATTAAGCAGCTAGCGTGCAAAATGAATGTAAAGTTTGATTTATGCTTTATACATTAGGGGTACAACCCAAGTATATGTATCGTTTCAAGTACTATAGGGTTTTCTTCTTTGACACCTCTTGAAACGATACACGTACTTGAGTAATACCCCTAGTATATAAAGAAAACCATATATTACTTGAAACGATCCCACAGAGAAAACCCTATATTTTGACCCTCTTCTTTGACACCCCTAGTATCGATCCCACTGAAAAGCGAGGTAAGAATGTCCTTAGACGAAATCCTAGTCTACAACTATCATATCTTAGTTTGGAAGGTCGCTTAAGATGATGTTTTATCTAGCAACTACTCCTAATGCAAATATTAAATGCAAGGATAACAATTATTCCTAAATGCAAATATTAATTCTAAGAATAAATTATATGGATAAATTGGTTTGGAGTATTTTGAGATGTAAAAACTATCATTCTCAAGTGCGACGACATAAAAAATGTGAAGGAATGAAATGCATTGAATTTAATGTAGTAGTGACAAATAGGAGCATACCTATTCTTTACCCCTTCCGAGCATAAAGAGCATTGGATAATCTAAAGTTGATCTTGGCATGTATAATAGTGTTGGGTAGGTTCTAGCCTCTCTGTTTTCGTTTGTTTTTCTTTCTTTTATTTTAGAAGGAAACGACAGTCTGTCGATCGTCGTATACTTCTTTTATTCGAATAAATCTCCCTCCCGAATCAGATCACTAATTCGAAGAGGAAAGAAACCGAATAAGAAGGGACATACGACAAAGAGACAAACAAGAGAAAACACAAAACGTGGAGAGTTTACGTGCGGTAAACCTCGCAAGGATAGGTTAAAAGTGTCCCCCCAAACAAGATCGGGCGAAAGCACCTTAAACTGATATCCGCGAAAGAATGCCTACGTAAACTACCCAAAACTAGAGAGTCAGGTGTAGGTGTCTGTTCTGGGGTCAAGAGCACTCCCAATGGGACGTATCCCGCTTGGTTAATTACATCTCAGGGGGTACCCAAAAATACTCTACATAAAAGGAATTTCGCTTGGATTATCGTGAACCTGGGGCAATAGGTACTCAAAGAAAAGTTATTCCGTGTGGGAACAGCCGTGTGGGAACAGTCCCGACCGATGCTTCAAAGCTCGTGCTAAGCAATCGGGCAGTAAGTCAGTCTCTCACATCCCGAAATGTGTAGCGACTCATCAGCCCACAGGACCCACGGAATAACTTAAGTCATCTTGATGGGGATATCCCAACACATCAAAGCACGTCAGAGCTATAAGGGCAGAGGACAAATTGTCGTATCTCAAATGGGCGGTGGCTCATCGGCATCGGGCCGTCAATGTGATATCAACGAAGTCAATGAGCGATAGGGCTCAAAGGGGCTCAACAAAAAGGAAGGTAGAGTGATCCTAAAAGGTAGAGGTAACTGGGTCGGGGTCACTAAGTCTACTTGGTCGTGAAGGTAGTCGACCCAACACGTCCCGAGGTTCCCGGTCAAAATTCCATGAATTACGTCATCCGCATGAACCTCGGTAGCCCTAAGGTCAATGGAAGGAAACTTTATCCTATGACTATAAGTTGTAGCTCCGAGAGGTGAGACTAATACCTGCTGAAGTAGCAGGGACGCCTCAAGAAGAAAAAAAAACGTGGAGGTTCAGCTAAAAAGCTGTAAACACTCCAAACAAAAGGACTTACACTCCGTCTAGATCGGGGAGCTTTCTAACATCATATGCACACTAGACAACCACCTATATAAAGATATGTTGGGTAAGTTGGGTTGAAGAAGCACGGGGACTCCTCCTTGGGACATGCAAATATGATTGCAGTTATCTAGAGCGACGAAAGAAACTCTATCCTATGATTAAAAGCAAGAGCTCCAAGAGGTGGGACTTATACCTGCCCAAATAGCGAGGATGCCTCCGGAAAGAAAAGAAAGTAGAGGTTGAGCTACAAAGCTGGAAATACTCCAAACAAAAGGACTTACATCCCGTCTGGGTCGGGGAGCCTTCCAACACCCTAGGCGCACTAAACAACCACCTATAAAGAGGTATGCTGGGCCAGTCAAGTTGGAGAAGCACGAGGACTCCTCCTTGGGACATGCAAATATGATTGCAGTTATCTAGAGCGATCCTTAAGTATTGTGGAGACCCTACTAATATATGCAGGAAAGTAAATGTTATAATTTTTAAATCCTGAATATTTTAATCCTACATTTTAATTATCTTGAATATTTTATTTATGATTTTGTAGAAAATTACAATTTTAAGGTCCTTAATGAGCCTATATTGTATCGTGAAATCCCAGATAAGCCACAGAAAGAAACAAGGAAAACACATGAAAGTGCAGACATGCAATATGATGCAAAAAAGCAAAGCAAGCCAAATCAAAACAATAAAACAGGTCGGTGCCGTTGGGTCGGCAACATATCTCAGAAAAGAAAAGGGCGCCCAGACTCCGCATATACATGCCCGGTTCTTATTCTATACATCAATATAAAATGCAGAATTAAGATACGGGCCACGAGCATCAGCTCATGGTTCCCTCCACGTGGTTCCCGTGCTAAACATCTTGAAACTCGTGCTCGTATCTTATTTCTGCTACAGGACTCTCCTAGACTCTAAAAATTACATAGGAAAATAAAAGACTCAATCCTGCATGAAAATAAGTGTCAGCGGGAAAACTCACATGCAAATAACGTATCATGAGCCATGCCTTAAAAGTGGGGGAGCTAATATCACCTGCAAGCAAAAGGGTCAGAAATCATTACTTGCTCCCCCTATAGCGGTACATGTGTGTGTGCAAATAAATGGGCATGGCTCCCTGTAGAAGAACGCCCTAACATACTACCACACATATGCAGCATGCAGGCACATCACAAGTATAATGCAAAAGAAATATATTTAACTATGGCAATCAATCCAACAGAGAATAATAGTCAGGCATCAAAAAGACTACCTAGCACCCTAAATCCTAGCCTATCACACCGTCTAACAAAAAGTGCGTCAACATGTTATCTAAGTGCGGCGTAGACCTGAGTATAGTATGACTTTGACGGGGCGTCATACCAGACCCATCCTAAAGATCCGAATGCTCTAAAGGGTGTCACGAAGAGGGGTGACACGAGTTAGATCTATTAGATCTTTAGCACAGTCATACTCGTGTCAATCTCGATGACTTAACTCGCATTGCTCACCGGGATCAACACAACAAGCAATGCATGTTAAGGCATCGCGACCGATACGGGGTCACTCTCCTAACGAACATGGCTCGCTATCCATGCAAACATGCAAATGCAGATGCTAATGCAAACAAATAAAAACATATAAGTAGTGATAAAAAGTATGCCATGAAGGCATACTGTGGAGGCAGCGCCCGAACAAATTGGTGTGCCATAGCGGCAGTAATAAAAAGGGATGGGCGTACCGTAGCGGCAGTGGCCAGAAGTTGTGTCGTGGAGGCGGTGATCAAAATGGATGGGTGTGCAGTGGAGGTAGTGGCTCGAAGAAAGGTGTACCGTAGCGGCAGTGACAAAAAGGGATGGGCGTGTCGTGGAGGCAGTGGCCCGAAGAAAGGTGTACCGAGGTGGTAGTGACACGGAGACAGTGGTGATTCTCACTGGGGAGCATCACCCAAGTGCAAATGCAAATACATATGGTGCAACATGCAAATAGTCAAACATGTGATATAACTGCAAAAACAAAACAAACATACAAGTGATCGGTCGACCAGACTGTGGTGGCCGGTCAAATCAAAGTGATCGGTCGATCGGGCCGGAGCAGTTGGTCGAACCAAAGTAAGATGCTCGTCAGGCTGAGGCGGCTGATCGAAGCAAAGTGAGATGCTCGTCAGGCTGGGGTGGCTGATTGAAGTGAGATGAAATGCTCGTCAGGCCGGGGCGGCCAGTCCAAGCGAGGTGAGATGCTCGTCGGGCTGGGGCAGCCGGTCAGAGCGAAGTGAAATGCAACATGCACCAAGCAAAAAATGCAAAATGCAACAAACCAACATGCAGATAGAAAACCGGGCTCGTGCTAACGACCTCACTTGGGAGACCTAAGGTTTACACCCTTGGATGTGTGACACCACCGCCTTTTGCTTTGGTGAGGAAATGTGAGGGATTTTCTCCCCGGATCTCCGGGGGGGAAACTCTCTACGGCGTCGCAAAACAGGATAGCTAAAAACCTTTTTCCTATTTTACGAACTCCTCCAGACTTTACAAAGCGAGCCAGCTACAAAGCTTATCTCGCTTTGCCAAGTCCGACCTCCCAACTTCTCCAAGTAAAGCTGAGGAATCCAAAGCAAAGGGAGTGAGGGACTCCGACCCATAGGGGTTTGTGCTAAGGCTCACAACAAGAGGGGAGACATTTGGCTCTACGGGGGGTATTTGACTACGCACAAGAAGTCTTAAACTAAATGTTGGCTCTAAGAAAA